TCTTTTATCAATAGATTATGTAAACTCCCTAAATTTATTGGAATTTAGAGTTAAATTTTGAATAAATGTTAATGTATGAAATAAAAATAGGTTTAAGAATGATTTGCATGTACATGATAAATGGATTTTTATTTAATATTAAAAAAGTCCAAAAGAAGATTAAGTGACAGTGTTATAAAGCACAACCCAAAACAGTTCTGGTCAAGGCATAGAAATTTTGTTTAACATTGAGGGGTGGGGGGAGGTGGGATGGTTGGTCTTAAACTCACATTGAACCTTATTCTGTGTTTTACCCAAAAAAAAAGGTAACTTTTCATTGAAATGGTACAGAGTCTCAATTTATTATGAAAGTAGGAAAAGGAGGAGGGGAGGATGTCCCAAGAGTAGGCCTAAATTTAGCATTGTATATCACAAGTTTGGGATATACTTGACTTTGTGGCACATGATTTCATTTTAGTTACTAAAGTTACTACAAGTTAGATTTTCAGTATGGATTTAATGGAACTCTGATAGGTGCAAATGGAAGCTCTGAGTGACCCTGATACACATACAAAGACTAGACCACCCTTTAAAATGATTTTTCTCCATACAACAAAAATTCAGTATGATTTTAAAAAGTGATCTTGGCAATTTTTAATGGAGAAAATATTCTGCTTTCAGACTGGAAATATGAGGCTATTTAAAGAACTAGAGGTAGTGATATTAGTGGTAGGTGTGATCCTGTCTACCAGCCACTGTCAAGATATTTTACAACAGACATGTAACGATCCTAATGGCTATGCTACAATTGAACCAGATGCTGATGCTATCATTGGTGGTGTATTGTGTGCTGATGGTGAGTTAAAAGCCATTAAAAGCCATGGTTCACCATTTTCTGGGTTGATTTGGGTCTTGAATATATATAAATATTTTTCAGAACGAGAATCATAATCCTGTCAAATATACCTCAAACTGGAAATTTTACTTTTTATTTCTATAAATCTTTCTATGACAGGTCATGTTTCTCTACAATTTGTCGTTTGCTTTTGCTTAAATCCATTTAGTTTTCCAACACCAACCAAATAAATGGTTTTGCTGTTCAAACATTAACGGCTAAAACTTTCAGAAAAGATAAGGGACCAATTTCACTAAAGTTAGTATAGTTTTCAATAGTTATAATAACTTATCCTAAAAATCAGACTGTCCCTTTAAATATTATAATATAATCATCATTACAGACATGCAGGCATATGAAGCTTTACGTCTGGCCATTGAGGTCATCAATAAAGAAAATGTTAAAATTAATGGAGAATTATTAAATACTAGCTATGTACCTGGTATCAAATTAGGTGAGTTCATTTCTGTCAAATTTAATCTTGATATAAACTTCACTAGGATAAAATCCACTTTTTACGGCAAATTACTATAAATTCCTCTTCATTTGTGGCCAGTGGTATATTTTTTTTTTGAATCAGTAGTTCCCAACCTATTTCAGCCCTCACACCCCCGGAGCAATCACATGGAACTTTCACACCCCAAAAATTCAGCATGTGATGATGTGAGGTGCGCTCTCTCTCAACTCAAAATAAATTCTTCACCTACACCAGTTGGCCACACCCCTGACACCCTAATCCCACACCCCCAGGGGGTGAAAACACTCCAGACTGGGAACCAGGGATCTACATATATGTAAAAATTGAATTCCTAAGCATCCTAAAATAGTAAATTATATGTAGGATAGCATATATTGATATGCTTAGACATTTATTTGAGTTTTCAATTTTTAATGAATTCATTCATTCATGCTTTTTTGATTCATTCATGTATTCATTCATTGACTAGGTATGAGAGTAAAGAATACTTGTGGTGATAGTGAAGCTGCTATAGAAGGAGCTACAACTTTATTTCCACAGTTATCTGCTCCTCAATCAACTTGTAATCAGACTCAGAAAGTGATCCTAGGTGAGTGATCTTTAAAGATGGGTTTCCTTATTTTTTAGTGTCAAATTAAGCAAACTATTTTATTAATTGGTGTTTCTAATAAATTATCATGTATCTTTTATCAAATCATTATTTTCTTATTGCATATAATTAAGAGTTTTATTCAATCATAAATGTTTATGTATATACAGTCGGGATAAACATAAAGGGATCCCATCTTTAATTATCTAATAAGAAATACAGTAAGCTGTCCCTGATTTGACAATATGACTAAATTTGAAATTAATTCTTTTGAAATTACTTGAGGTTTTCCAGTCAAAATCAATAGTCTACTATTTGTAATAGATCACTGATGATTGAACTACTAAAATGGAGGACCACTTGTCTTTGTTTAGATTTTGGTGTAATTGGTAAAGTTCCAATGGGAGGACTATAAAGCTGTTTCTATTAGCCCACTTTGGTGCAGTAGGATGTAAATCTCTATTTCATTTCATAACATAAATTTCATGGTATACTACTTCTTAGTTTTAATGTACATAACGTTTCAAAAATTTACATTGGCATCATTAGCAACATATTCATGTAGATTTTTGAAATGCTGTGTCCAGAAAAGCTAAGGAGTAGTATACCATTAGATTATGTTTGTAAAATTTGATGTGATCTCTATTTGATTTCATTTAGAATACATATACTTTGTTTAAAATCAGGTGTGATTGGTACAAGTTCCAGTGGTACAACAATGACTGTGTCAGATTACCTGGAGAAGTATAATATTCCCATCATATCATACCAAGCTACAGCACCCATTCTGAGTAATAAGCTCAACTACCCAAACTTTATGAGAACTGTACCTCCAGATGGCCCACTCATGGATGTAAGTATTTAAAGGAGCAGCAGTCTGATTGTTTGGGTTAATCCAACTATTACGACTACCAACCACTATCTAGTTTGAAATGTCTGCAGCTGTTGGAAGCGAAAGTTAACTTGTCATCTACCTATTTAACTTACTTAAGTTAGGTAGAAGTTAGGTGCTCAAATTAATGAAAACTAATGATTTTTGGTTTGTGGTGGAAATTTGATGTACTGATTTTAGTTAGATAAAAGCCAAGTTGTTAGAATATATCAAGAAATCTGAATACGTATTAATTTTGAATGTTATTGTCTTGACTCTAGGTCATTATCAAAGTATTAAACAGAATTAAATGGGACCATATCATCATTGTTTACGAGGATTCAGTGTTTGGTCGATCATCTTTCGCAGAAATTTTACCTCGATTATCAGATGCTGGTATTTGTTTGAAATCAGCTATACGTCATGACGAGACAGACACGGCAGCTGGTACATTAGATAGAGCTTTATTGACCAACACAACTGGTGTGTTATATTTAGGCGGTGTGGACCTGGCAGATCAGCTTCTTCAACAAGGAGAAACTCACCCAGGAGCTGGTAAACTTCAGTGGATTTTCACCGATAGTATAAGCCTCGATAAAAGTTTCCAAACCAGAAAATATCAACGTGGAATCATCAGTATTTTGCCGAGCTCCAGAAACATTGTGGAATTTGAAGATCATTGGATGAGAATTGAGGAGAATTCTCCATCTGCAGAAAATCCATGGTTCCAGAAATGGTTTATGGATCAGAATGAATGCCTTTTAAACGGTTTCACAGAACCAATGAGCTATCCAGTCTGTGTTATTAAATCAGAAACTGAGAAACGTCAAACATTTGTACAGAATCCTTTCGTGGAACCTGCTATTCATGCCGTTTTTACTTACGCCAATGCCTTTCGCAAAGCTCATGAAACCTTTTGTGGCCCTAATGCATTCGGAATGTGTGATGCGCTAAAGAATCTTATTCCCAGAGATTTTTACCTGAATTACTTGAAGGGTGTGAACTTTAAGTACAATACAGAAGAGCGTATATCTAGTTTGTCCTCCTATATATTGGAACCTTATAACACAGCAAAACAAGTCGATTTCGACATTAATGGTGATATCATTAATCCTGCTTACGATATCTGGAATTTCAACAACCTTCTTCAACAAGAACAAGACAAAGGTGAAAAATTTAGATTGGTAGGTATTTCATATTTTTCCACTTTAAATTTCAATAAATTTGTCCATGCCTTGTTTAAGTTTAATATTTTGGGTATTGAAATTTTCTTTATTATTGGGTGTTTCATGTTGGATACTCAACCTTCAGATATTTGATAGTGTAAACTTTTGGATACCCTTGATTAAGTTAACTGTTATCATCCATTAATTCTATTGTTTTACAGGTTGGAAGATTCCTGGGAAATATACTATCCATCAATCGAGATCAGGTAGAAATGTATGATGAAAAACGTGAAAAGCCATTGACTGGTATACCAGAATCTGGATGTACTGTTCAGCCATGTGGACCTTGTGTTGGAGTTCCTCCAGAGACCAAGTACTTCTACCAGCATGGTGATGTAGTTCTGACTGGTCTGTTCTCCTTACATCAAAAAGGACTCAGTCCTCTAACTTGTGGAGCCTTTGACAAGAATAACATCATCTCCGGGGCTCAATATCTACAAGGAATGATCTATGCACTGTATAAAGTAATCCAGAACACTAATATCTTACGAGGAGTACGACTAGGTGGTCTGGCATTCGATGATTGTATGAGCAGTATCTTAGGAACCACCACCATATCACAGGTTAGTGAAAAACTCTTGATTTTATACGAAATTATATGCTTGGTCCATATCATAGTGGGTTGCTGCCAAATTTATTATTAGGAACCATACAGTCTCAGCAAGTTATAAGTTTTAAAGATTCATATCATTAAGACAATATTTCCAGGATGGCTTGGATACAAAAATAAACCACACTTGATGAAGTATCCATCATCTTTAGTCAGGCTCTCCACTTATATCTCAAGAGAGATAACTCTAATTGATATCTTAAGACCAAAATATTACAATAAGTCATTATAATACAGTATGCCACTAGTAGATAAACTACATAGATACAAATTTTTCCAGGTCCAACAAGGTGCTCTGACTATAACAGACAGCAGTGGTAATATCCTGGATCCTAGAAAAATAGATGGTTACATGGCAGCTCATTCCAGCCAATTGACATTCCCCATAGCTGAGTTGATGAACATTTTTAAACGCCCCTTGATTGGCTACGCTAGTTTAGATGAAGATCTTTTAGATTATCCTTACTATCTGCGTTCCACTCAAGGTTCGGCTTTTGAAAAGCGCGCTATTATTAAGATGCTCAAAAGACTTGGTTATGAGTATGTCCAATTGGTTTACGAAGATTCAGAATACTTTGTGAAAGGAAGTTATGATTTCCGAAGAATTGCTGCTGAAGAAGGTGTCTGTGTCATCACTACCATTAAAGCTGGAATGGATGGATCAGAAACAGTTCAGATGCTACGAAAACGAAAAAACATCAAACCAGTCATTTTGAATGTTGGAATTATGGGAAATAAGCGTTTTCTGGAGGGTGTCAGCCAAATGAATGCTTCTGGAGAGTTTGCATTATTTGGTCTGCATACTTTTGGAAGATACCAACAAGTGGTAGAAGGTAATGAAGACGCAGCTGATGGAGTAATCAGTTTAGATATGAGAAGTTCCAATCTTGGGGAGTACCAAAAGTAAGTCTTAACTTTTTAACCCTACTGATTAGAACTGCGCCATCTTATCCACTGACTCTCTAAGTAAAGAAAATTCTTATATGAAAGTTTAGTTTTATTTGAATTGTTTATACAGATTACCATCCTCTTAGGTATTTTGCTTTATTTTGAATGATATCTGCCTTTCTGCTACTTTGTTTGTCAAATCTGCACCCTTTGGGTAGTTAACACATCTGATAGTGTTTTTCACCTCATCGCATCCCTCTTGGACAGTCTTGGTATATTGTTTTAAAAGCATTAACTCTTTTCTTATTTCAGTTATCTATCTCGGCTACGTGTAGACAGTGAGAAAGACAGAAATCCTTGGTTTAGTGAATGGTACCAACATGTCCATCAATGTTTTTTACCAAACTCACAAATCAAAATGTACACGACACCTTGTCCAGACGTGGCCAACATTGGTATAATTGGAGCTGTAGATTATAAACTAATGTACTATCTGGAAGCTAGTATCAATGCTGTTTATGCCTTCGCCTATGGTTTGGATGCTGCATTAATTCAGTACTGTGGTGCTCAATACAGTGGAGTTTGTAATAATTTCCTCAGTGCCAAAGATAAAGGGGATGTTTTGGTTCAGAAGATTAAAGAAATCAGTTTTATTCCTGAGAATTCTCCCTACATTATCCGATTTAATGGTCAAACCATTGATCAACCTGCTGTCTTCTATAATTTTGTCAATGGCCAGTTTAGAGAGGTATGTTCTTTGTTTTTATTTGAAAGGACACATGTAGGGGAGCATTGTTTTTCTATGTATCTTTAGGTGAGGGGCCCTGAATCTGTATGTGAGGGGACCAAATTGGGGCCACAGAATTCTCAAAGGGGGACCCACAAGCAATTCTGGAAGGGCTGTAATCTTTTAGAGAGTAGTTATATCATGTATCCATGGAGAAATTTCGTACTCTTTTGACCCTTGTATTGAACTCCTTATTAAGTATTAATATTTTTGATGGTACATTTCTTAACTTCCAGATTGGAGAGTATGAAGCTATGAACAACCAGCTGAAAGTTACCCAAATTCCAATTTTCTACAACAATACTGCCTCTTCTATGTATAAACCAACATGTCCACAGATGTGTCGTGAATGCTTCTACATGTTTCAACATCAAAACTATATGTACATTGATGGAGACTTGTTCATACCTGGCATGTTTGACGTGCATTATTCAAAACGACATGTATCACCTTTCAGCTGTGGATCTCTTCGCTCAGAAAATGGCTTCCAGTATGTAGAAGCTTTTGCTTTTGCTTTGGATTATGTAAACAATGGTCAAGCTGGTGTAAAGTTGAATAATAATCTTAAATTGGGAGGTTTGGCTTTCGATGGTTGCTCCAATTCCCTCAGAGCAACTACGTTAGCTAATGCTTTCCAATCTACGGCTATTAGATTCAAGAACAACAATGGTGGATATATCGACCAGAGGAAGACACTAGCTTGGCTCGGTTACGACAGTCAATCCACCATCAATATGGCTGAATTATTAGGATCCATTGGTGTTACAGTTGTGAGTCCAGGAGCTACCTCACCATTATTGAACGACAAAACAAGATTCCATAGTTTCTTCCGAACTATCCCATCTGAAGGTTACCTTGCTAGAGCAATGGCAGATCTGACAGAGACTCTGGGATTTAAATACGTCATTACAGTCAACTCTCCTGATACAGCCATGAGGGAAGCTAAAGATCACTACAGGCAATATCTGAAAGACAATGGCATCTGTGTTCTGGCCTCATACGAGTTTGTCACAGATGGAAGTATGGAAATTATTCTAAATTCAATGAGTGAATCAACCACAAGAGCTGTTGCAATATTTGCTGAACCTGACATGTACGTTAAAGAGCTGATGGAGCTGAAACAAAATCGATACCCAAATGTCAACTTCATTTTTATTTCCAATCGCAAATTTTATGCAAAACAGAAGAACTATGCAGCTGCAGTAGAGAATGCATTAAGTTTTGATATGGATGTTCCAACAGTCCAGGAATTTGTGAACTATTTAGGAAGTTTACAGTACACCAGTAACACACGCAATCCATGGTTCAAAGAATTTTATGAAGAGAAATTTGGGTGTCAGCTATTCCCCTTGTATGCTAGTCCAGCAGTATGTACCATTAAGACCATGTCTATTGTAGACTCTTCCTTCCAGCAAGATTTATACACACTCTCCACTATTAATGCTGTTTATGCTCTAACAGAAGGTATGTGCCAATATTTTTCACTTATTCATTGTCTTACTCCATGTAGGGTATTAGGATTTTGGATTTATTAGAAATATGTACATCTACATGTACATATGAAGGTAAACCTTTTTTGTCCTTTATTATTGATGATTGTGGCAGATTATGTAGTTGAGGGTTCAAGGTTATAAAGCACCTGTCGGAAAAAACAAATTATCTTTAAAATAAATCTTTTATTGCTATTTTCAGGAGTTCACAGAACATTACAAGAGAAATGTGGAGCATCGTATACCTCTATCTGTGGTAAATATCTAACAGATGCTGATACCAACCAGAGGTTGATGGATCACATGGATAAATTGAATTTTACTGATATTGTCGGAGCTTATTTTGAATTTATGGAACGTGAGGCAAGACAATCCTTTACTGTCAATCAATATAAAAATGGTGATCCGTTTAAGGTAAGAAATTTGTATTTTTTTGGTAAGTGGATGGGCTGAGAGCTTATATCAGGTTAAAACCTGAAAAGCAATTTATTCTTGCTAGTGGGGAGCTTTAAATCCAACACTCTACTTATAGATACATTATTGAGTGAATTTTGATCTGATTGTGGTAGGTGTCATAAGCATAACAGCAAATGCTATGCCCTTTAGGAACTCTTGATACCTTCTTTTGACTGGGTTCCCAACTCAGCATCACTTAAAGCATCATGTGTAATTTAGAGGGAGATGGAGGAATTCTTCAGAATAGTAAAATTACTTGATAAAGTGAAAAATCAGCTCAATAAAACCACATTGTTATTTTAAACCAATTTTGACATGTATTTCAGGTTGCAAGTTTGTTATCTGGAAATCTGACCTACCCTGATTTAAATAATCTTAAAAACAATTATAGAAATGTTCCATCAACCTGCGATAATAACTGTGATCTTTGTTCAGATGCCAAAAATAATTTTGGTGATTTTACTCATATTGATGGTGACATATATTTTGTCGGTAAGTAGTCTTGGATCCACAAGTTTCAGTTATTCCTCATTTTATGAACGTGATTGCATCCCTTCCTGACATGCCCATTTTGACATTAAAGCAGAATATTCAGAGGCATAATCTGAAATCCCAAACAGAGAAAAGCATAAAAGTAGGACGTAAAAGCCAATTTCATTTTGTTTTATAGGGTTATTTGATGTTCATAAGAAAGGAGCAACACCATTTTCCTGCGGTAGTCTTAATGACAAACATGGCTTCCAACTTCTAGAAGCTTTCAACTATGCTGTGGAATATGTCAATGACAAGAAGGGTATATTTAGAGATAAACTCAATGGTGTCGATATTGGTGCCATTGGTCTTGATGTTTGCCAGAATCCTACAAGAGCTGCCAATTTGGTAACCAATATCCATAGTAACAGCATAAATTTGGTGGACCCATTTGATGGCACTTTGGTTCAACCCTCAAGATTCGATGTCTATATTGGTCCATTTGATACTGATTCATCCATCAGAGTTGCTGATGTTTTGGATGGCTTGTCAATTCCACAGATTACCTACGGTGCCACAAGTCTTGAACTCCAGGACAAGAAGAAGTACCGATATTTCCTTCGATCTGTTCCTGCTGATGATAAACAAGCCAGAGCCATTATCTCCTACCTCAAACGATTTGATAACAACTTTGTTCAGATTATCTCCACCTTTGACAGTGTTGGTTTGAAGGGTAAAGAAGAGTTTAAGAGATTAGCTCCCTTGAATAAAATCTGCGTAGAGAAAGAAATTACTGTAGGCTATGATGTAAGTCTATTTATGTTACTCTTTTACAATTGTTTATAAATGGATAGCATCTGTAGTATTAGATCTTTCTATAATATTTCAATAACGCTAGATGTGATTGTTAATGAAAATTTATCATCTGATTGGCTTAATAACATTAAGATGTTTGAATGTACAGTAATTTGATTGGTTTATAATTGGTTAATTGAGATGACTTAAACAGTCAAATAGAATTAAATTGATTTCATTGGTTAATAATATTAAGATTTTAATCAATCTCTGTGATTGACCAATGAAATGACTTTAACTGTATTTACTTTTGGATTCAAATTGATCCGATTGGTTAATAATTTTAAGATTTAAATTAATCTCCTTGATTGGCCAATATGAGATGACTTTGATAGGATTTACTTTTAAATTCAAATTGATCTGATTGAGGCTGATGAGGTTTTGTGAATTTAAAACAATGAATCATGATAAGTACTTTTCATTTGCCCTTAGAGGTTGCAAGAGATTAAAATATTATTATTTTTACTCTTTTTCAGGGTCCTGTAACAGCAGCTGAAGCTAGTAGTGCTCTAGAACAGCTAAAGGCCAATCAATCAGCTAAGGTTGTAGTGCTGTTCGTCGACGATCCAAGAGTTATTCTTCAAGCTATTGATGTAAACCCTGAAATAAGGAACAATTTCTTCTTCATTGGTACTGATAAATGGGGCATGGATAAAGATATCTTATTTGGATTGGACAATTTGATCAGTAGTGATAAAGTTGTAACTTTCGATGTAGAAACAGCTGATGTACCTGGCTTTGATGACTATCTTCAATACAAGACTCCTGATAACTATAAACGTAACCCCTGGTTTAAAGAATACTACGAACAGCAATATCAATGTGATATCTCTGAGCCTAATTGTGTACAGAATCGTTTTGGCATTTCAAGAAATGAAAAGTATATCCAAGATCCTTATGTATTGTATGTGGTCAACGCAGTCTTTGCAGCAGCCCTTGGTGTCCACAAGAGTTTGGTGGAATTGTGTGTCGGTGGTAATAATCAGAACCAATTCTTAAATGGTGTCTGTTCCTTATTCAGACAGAGTGGAGAGCGTCGTCAAAGAATCCACCGAGGAATTACTAAAGCTGAGTTTATTGATGACACATACCAGCCTTTCTACTTCCTGGAAACGGGGGAAAGTGACCGTGGTTACCATATTTATGATCCTAAAAAGGATGATTTGGGTGAATACGTATACGACAATGTAAGTTTCTTCCCTTTTTTATTTTTATTTTTATCTGGCAAAAATGTTAAAAACTGTCCTAAAATGAATCATGAATGTAGATTATGCATTAGAGTACCTGAATCTGATTGTTCTTCAGTTCCTGAACATGATACAAGATCCTTAATTGGACAAATTGGTTTGGTGACAGAAGATTTTGCACCAAAACATCTAAACTGGCTGTTGCTATGCCAGTCTGTGAATAATTGTAAGGAAAAGTAGATGGAAATGATATTGGGTTACAAGACAGCCTTGATAACTTTGAGTATGATGATATCTCCTAAAAAGTCTTTTTTTTATATTCTTTTCAGGTGGGAAGCTACAATGATACTGACTTTTTGAAAATTGACATCACCTATGACATGAAGTTTCAATCCAGATGTAAAGAAGGAGTAGATTGCCCCTGTATTTTCCCCAAATATGAACAATCAAGGTACATGTTAAAAGAGTCAGCATTTAACTTGAATCTGGTGTATGTTGCTAACCTTCACCAAGCTGTACCAAATGATCCATTCCAATGTGGTATGATGTCCTCCATGAGCAACTTCCAATCTATGCTTGCTTTCTTCTACGCTATTGGTCAAGTGAATGCAAACGAGTTCAATAAGTATCCAGCTTCGTTGAAACTTGGAGGATTAGCTGTTGACAGTTGCTCTCAACCAATGAGAATTGGAGAAGATGTATACAGTTTGTTGAGTGGTGAAGGACTTTGTCATTCCAGTGGACGTGGACAAATTATCTCCCCTTCCTCAGTCGTGTCATTCCATGCCTTATCAACAGACACATCAGAACCACTTAGTCGAATTCTAACTCCTTATAAAATCCTGTCCCTCAGTCCTGGAGCTACTTCAGTTAGTTTGAGTGATAAGCGACTCCATCCTTACTTCCTGCGAACTGTTCCTCCAGATGATATTCAGGTTGTTCTCATGCTACAGGTCATGAAGCAGTTTGGTTGGGATTATGCCTCCATCATATACACAAATTCTGGTTATGGAATTTCAGCTAGAGATGCCTTAATCAGACAAGCAGCTTTCGCAAACTTGAAAACCTGCGTCGGAGTTGGTCATGCTTTAGCTTACTCCACATCCTTGACTGAAGTAGAAGAGATTTTAGTCAGTTTGAGTCAAAAGGTTGGATCACGTGTAGTGATACTCTTTACAGATCCAGCACACTCACGTCTGATCCTTCAAGCCACCAAGAATAAGGGACTGACTGGTCGATTTGTTTGGTTGGCCAGCGACTACTGGGCTAACAGTATGGAGATTGTGCAAGGATATGAAGAAGAAGCTGTTGGTGCTCTTACAGTCCAGATCCGATCAGAGTTCGTCCAGTCTTTCAATAACTTCATGATGAATCTGAATATGACCAATAGAAATGGCATCCCTGATGACTGGTTTGAAGAGTTTTATCAAACTATACACAAGTGTAGAATCCTTAAATCTGAAGTGACGAAACAGTTCCCACGAGTGTGTACTGGAAGTGAGAAAATCACTGAAGACATGATCAGTCAAGACCCATTCGTTCTACATACTATTATCTCCGTATACCAGATCGCCGAAGGTTTGAATAGCATTGCTGCATGTAAATCCTCATCAAGATTAGATTTGTATGCTTGTTTGTCTCTTCAACCAAACAGACGCCATCTCATCTACAACAATGTTTTAGGAGCTCAGTTAGATGTGTTGTCCAATGAGCTGAAAAATAGAAGCTTCACATTCAAATTCACAGCAGATGGTTATGGTGATATTGGTTACAACATATTAAACTTCCATCGTGATGTCACTCAGGATAAATATGTCTACTCAAAGGTAACAAACTTGCTAGAAAATTGTCCAGAGTGCAAAATGAACAATACAACAGTGGGGCGTGCAAATCAAATTTTATCTCAAAGGCTTTATGAAATAACTGCATCATGGGTTATTATGTACCAAATGTTACATTGGGGCATTTGTGCAGTGTTTTGATTCCTTTTCAGTACAATCAGATGTTGAAGTGAATAATTCTTGCTAATCTTCTGTCTGTTGTTAAATGGCAAGCTTCTAAGTAATCAAGATTATAGTGAACTTCTGGACAAATATTACAAATCTGTTTCTTGCATCTTAGCTGATTTGTTTGTTCAGGCATATTGATCCCATGATGTTGATCTAGATAGTAGTGGCAGGTGTCGCGCGAAGAAGATCATGCTTACTCTTTTTCGAAACACCTGATGGTATTTCTCTTTGGAGGAGTCCACTACTGTAATATTTTTACTCTTGATTTTGCCATGCCTTGGACAAGATTTTGATTAACGGAATTATCTTTCTTGTACAGCTTTTTATTATATAACCTTGATGACATGAACATTAAAAATGTGACAAGACCTTATCATTAAAAAAAAACCTGTCAGAGTCTAATGATCAAGCATCTTTTTTTTCAGATTGGAATCTACCAAGAGTCACTTACCATAAACAGACTGGCCTACCGTGGAAAGAGTATCCTGACTATTGGAGTTATACCATTGTCAACTTGTCCACCATCAATCAACTGTACATGCTATGCAGCAGGAGCATTGATCAATGAAGGAGGAGCTATCATTGGAAGTGGAGTATCTGGTGATAGGATTGTTGCAGATGAAGGTGGAGCGGTATACAGATATCAACATAGTTACACTGATACTGGTTATATTATAGGATCAGATGGAACTTATCTTGACCCCAAAACAGGTGCTTTATTAATAGTGAAAGGTGTTCGTAAAGGAGCAGATAGGTTCTATGATATTTGGGGAATTATTTTAGCAGCTTTAGCAGCCATTGGAGCTTTTATTGCTTTATGTATGTTCATCTATTTACTGGTAGTCTACCCTGTACGAAGTGGCACAACAATCCTTGGATTCCTTCTATTATTTGGCATCATATTGATGTACCTGTTGGTCTTTGTTTTCATTTTCCATGCCTCACCAGAAATTTGCGCTCTACGAAGGTTTGCTTTAGGATTTGTGTATGCTCTAGTATATGCTGTTTTGTTTGTGAAACTGGTTGATTGCTGGAGATCCAAAAATGCCGGTGACTATTCTGAAGTGAAATACAGTAAAATTGGACGACCTGTTGGACTATTGTTCTTGGTGATCATGCTTGTGTTGGTCCAGGTGATTATCTGTGCTGAATGGCTGATTTTGGTAGCTCCTGGCTTCACTACCATCTATTACAACCAATATATTTGGCCATTGTGTCTTCCTATTGGTTGGTATGATACAGCATTGGTCCTCTCACTGGTTTATGTCATGTTCCTGATTATCTTATGTGTTATTTTTGGAATTGCCTGTTTCTCAAGCCCAAGAAATCATTATGAATCAAGATGGATTCTTGGTATTGCCATTCTGAGTATTCCAACTTGGGTAATCTGGTGCCTCGTTGCTGTGTTGGCAGATTATGAATTCCGAGATGCTGCAGTGGCTGTTGGTCTGTTATTGAATGCTACCTATATGTTGTTATGTGGTTCCCTACGTAAATTGTATCTATTGAACAAATATCAAGCTCTGATTGACGAAGAGGAAAAGGAAATTGAAAAAGAGAAAAAGAGCATGAAAGGTGAGTTAAAACTCCTCATAAAATGGCACAGGGAAAGTCAAGTTGTGTGTATTGTATTGTGGGTATTGTGTGTTCATATATGAATAACAACTGGCGCTACCCAGTACTTTTGCATCTGTATATTACATAATTAACCAACGATCTGAACCACAAAACAAAAACCCGAAACCAAAAAACCTTTTGGACAAAACATTGGTAGCAGCTGCTAATGAACTTTTCACATGAGGAAGTACATCAACCATAAGTGAGTAAGGTAGGAATTAGGTAGTGCCAAAGTTTTATGGTTGATATCATATTAGATCTTAAGTGGCATTGTGTGTTGATATAAGATAGGATTTTGGTCTGTGAAATGGTCTTTCTGGAGTTAGATTTTACTTGCTTATGCAAGATTCTAGTTTTCACTGTCAGTTGATAGAACATTGTGAATACTGCTTTTGTTTTATTTTATTTTATTTTTTTCGCTTTCCTAATGTGCTCGTTTGCATGTGCCAATATTGATTTTGGTTCAATTTTGTCAATTACATACAGTATAGTTATCATTTATATATTTTACAGGATCAGTATATTACAGTGAGTATGACAACCGACCACATTTCCATGGAAGTACTCATGGTAGTGTTCACGGTAGCATGCATGGTAGTGTCCATGGCAGTCGTCATGGAACTCTGCAGGGCCGTAATAGTGGATATGCTTATGTTCGTGGCCATAGAGGGCAGTTAATCATGGTCCAGACTGGTGGACATGGAGGTCACAGTACCAGACTCCATTCCAATGGTTCCGGTATTCAAAATGGAGGTGGTATGGTCGTTGCACACAATCAAGCTGAAGAAGAAGTCTTCCATGCAAGTGGACATAGTGCTGGTGGAATGATCATTCAGGAAGATATCCATCCTATGATTAATGATGGTCATTACAGTGAAGTCAACCATGGGCAAGGTGGAATGGTTATTGTTAGTGGTGGTGGTGAAGAGTCTATGAGGATGCTCAATGCTGATGATGCAGTACCTAGTACTAGTGGTGGATTGTCAACATCTCAATCAGGACAGTACTCTGAGGTCATCCGTGGTGGAGATGGTGGGGTCAGTGTGTCGGAGGCTTTTGGCAGTAGAGGAAGTAAGTAGATTTTAAATTATTCCTTGATTTTAACTATGAATTACAGTGCTAAAAGGTTATTATTTATGTTTTTAACAAGTGGGATCATTCTGTATGTGTGGTGTTGAAACTTTATTACAAGATATTGTGATACTTGGTTTATCTCTCCAAAAATATGCTTCAAATGTTACAGTATTTGTAGGGATGGGTTTAGATCAAAAACTATTCCTTTCAAATATTAGAAACAGTATTTTGTTAGCATTGACTATAAATGTTCAGGTCTCTAATCTACTATTACTACTGGAGTAAACAATATTGTGTTATTGGTATTTGCTGTAGTCTTCAATTCTTAAAGGCATTGATATAGGTCATAATATAAAGTCTTTAAACCATATGCTTGCAAAATAAAGATTAATTAAAAAGGTTAATTATTGATGATAATTTGTTGGTCTATACTTTGTGTAGGTGTAATTATTATTGAGGATATTACACATTATTGTTTATAATTGATATCATTATGGCACTTTAAACATTGTAGCTATATGTATCATTATTATTATTATGATTATTTCATTATGAGCATTATATTATTATTATTATTATTAAAATGTTTGTTTATGACGTAACATTATTATCATTATGATTATTGTAACATTGTAGCTACATACAGCTCTCATTATGATCATTTATAACATTGTAGCTATACAAGACTATGATAATAGCTATTATGGCCCTAATGTGACTATCAGACAACGCTCTGAATATGAAGGTAACATTTACTATTTTTGATAGTGGTAAAAGTGACTATGTTTTATCATTTTCTTGCATTTTATGTTGTAATTTTTGGTTTCATTTGTAAATTATGTTTTTCAGTTTATTTATTTAATTCAGTCATGGATTTTGTTTGAAAAGATCAAAAATGTAAAAATAAAGATAAGGAAGAAAGATATAGATATTTCTAAAATAAGAAAAAAATTCTGAAATTTTGAATTTGATAAATCACCAATATTTTATTAAAGATTTTTAAAATTTGAACTAATTTTTTAAATAATTTTAGCTGTTGAGGGTCACAGAACAGTTTTTGAATATGGTAAGGGTTCGAATTAATAAGCTTGATACAGAATTCAGCCTGCTTGTTTTTTATAGAATGGTCATCGTGTTAAAGGATGAATTCCACTCCAGCTTAAATTGAAACAGATTTTAATCCATCTGTCAAAGATATTGTGTTTATTATTTCTTAACAAAAACAAAAAATAAGGATTTGTATGAAAAAAACCCTAAATGCTTTGTAGATAGTTTACATTTTTAGGAATTTTTCAGTTTTATAAATGATTCGATGACTAAATATCCAATATTTATGTAAAAATTGCCAATTCTTTAATGTAATCATTCATGCTTGTGGCCCAATATTTTGAAATGAAAAAGTTTAAGTATTTAGAATGTCGCATTTTTCTTATGTTTGTGTTACAATTTTTTGCTTTGGCTTTTATCATTTTATTATATGTATTTTGTTTAGTTTAAATTCATTATTTTTTTTATATAGTTGCTTCATTTTAAGGCAGTGTTCATCATGTTAAAATATAGCCTGAAACACGCTTATTCTTTCCAGATTGTTAGACCATATATAACTAATAGTTTTGAAATTAGCTACCAGCCAAAATAAGAATCAGCTGGTTTCAGACTAAGTTTTATTTTAATCATGACATATAATGTCTGGAATGTTTTGTGCTATATTTCTATCTTGAGGATATTCATCTCCATGGCCGTTT